GAAAAAAAAGAGCAGGAAATATAGATAACTCCAGGCGCCTTGCATGGTAAAACAAAAGGCAGTGTATCATAAGGAAATATTTCAATTTAGGCCTTCGCCTTTCCCTTTCCCTTTCCTTCAATTTCTGGTTCCTCAGGCTCTGCTTCATCGTCGTCTTCCTCGTCACTCATCAGGTCATCCTCGTCCTCTTCGTCAAAACCGAAATACCTCCGGACAGGAGCCGGCTTAGCAAGCCCTGGTTCAGCCGTCGCTCTAGTACTCGTTTCAGCGACATCCTCCATATCACTTCCATCGCTTAGACTTGCAGACGACCGGGAACTCTCATTGCTGTCACTAGCGCTAGTGCTAGACCCACCCAAAATCTCAGCTCCTGCCAAATTATCTTTCCATTTCCCTTCCTTCATCGCGCACAAGACAGCCTCTCTTGCCCTCTCGCCAACTTCCTCCTTGTCCTCCATCCAAACACCATCCACCTTGCCTTTGCCATCACCATTTCGAATTTCCGCCTCACGTCTCTCAGCTGCCTCGACTACGGCCTGCCACCGCTTTTTCCTGGCTTCTTTTGCCTTCTTGTCCATATCAGGCTTCAGCGCAAGGTATTCCGCAAGCGCTTTGGCTTCCTTCACTGTGCGTAGTCGTCGACCATCGAGGTTGCGATTAGAGCCGTTGTTTTCTTCCTGGTTTCCCTTGCGGCGACTGGACATGCGGCCTCCAGCAGCACGAAGCTGGGAACCAAAACCACCCTTTCCCCCACATAGTCCGGCTCTGAGTCGAAGAGGGATGAACGTAGATCGTTTGGTGGTCTGCACGTCATCAAGGAGGGTAGCGATGGATTCCGATGAAGAGGGAAGAAGTTGTTTATTGTTGGTAGTTGTGAGGACAAGGCGAGGTGATACACTCCTCAGAGAGGATGGTAGCCGTGAGGATATATTGGCCACTACATCGGCGATGGTTGAGGTGGATGGTAGAGCGAACGAGAGAGTGGGTGGTAGTGGCAAGCCAGCAAACGACGTGAGAAGGATGTTTATTGTTTGGGGAGCCATGTTGGCAAATAGGATCTGATCTCGGCTTGACGGTATCAGATGTTTCCTCTGTCGTACTCCGTGGAAATGAAGTTAGAGGTGGTTGGTAGAAAAGAGATGAGCAGATGAGTATGTATGATGATAATGGATGATGGGATGAACTTAAGAGGCAAAACGCCTGGGCAACGACGAGATAGGAGGTCACATGATAAGGAGTATAATTAGTCATCTTTAACTAGTTAACTAGTGTGGGAACGTCTGAAGTGGGTTGCATTGGTTAGCCTATCTCAGGGATGCTATATACTACTGTGCAGTGCGCTAGTCCATAATAGGAAGCCTAGGCTCCAACAGTCAGTTAGTTAACTAACTAACCCAAAGGTATTTAAATCGCTTAGGGTCAGCCCTAGTCACGTGCCATCACCCACTTCGGCAAAGGAATCCACCGCATTTTAACTGTTGAAAGGGACTTTGGTGCTCCGGCTCAACCACCCGCAATCCCTCCAGTTCAACCTCATCACCGCCCGACTACCCCATTGTCAAAGCGATTCCCCGAATTGCGCCTGGAACTCGCGACAATGTATGTGGTAACTCCCCTTTTTAATGGTACTAATCATCTAACTAACTCTCCCCCATAGGCTGATCCCCAAAGCTGACCGCAAGAAGATCCACGAGTACCTCTTCCGTGGTAAGTGACCGAGCGCATATCCGTCTATTTAGATTTTATTTCTTAATATATGTTCTGTGTGCAATATGGTGTATATACATATTCTAATTATTCCACAAAATTATACAGAGGGCGTGCTCGTGGCCAAGAAGGACTTCAACCTTCCCAAACATGGCGACATTGACACCAAGAACCTCTACGTACGGAATCCCCCAATGAACAGAGGAACCCCTCACAATCAATCCCCAAAACCATATTAACCCCCTTATCTAACCATAAAATCAAAACCAACAGGTGATCAAGGCCTGCCAATCTCTCACCTCGCGTGGCTACCTCAAGACCCGTTTCTCCTGGCAATACTACTACTACACCCTCACTCCCGAGGGCCTCGACTACCTCCGCGAATGGCTCCACCTGCCCGCTGAGATCGTCCCAGCTACCCACATTAAGCAGCAGCGCTCGCACGCTCCCCCACGCGGCATGATGGGCGGCGAGGAGCGCGAGAGACGTCCCGGCGGTCGTGGTGGTCCCCGCGGCGACCGTGGTGAGGGTGGTTACAGACGTCGTGAGCAGGGCGAGGGCAAGGAAGGTGGTGCTCCTGGTGACTTTGCTCCTTCTTTCCGTGGCGGCTTTGGTCGTGGACGTGGTGTTCCTCCCCCATCTTCTTAAATGATGATGAATGGGGATGATGGATTCTTATTTTTCTTGTGCGTTCGTGTGTGTATTAGGGCGAAGGAGTCATGTCCGGTTGTATGGGCGGATGATGGTGGTGGGAAATTAAATACAATATTTAATTTAACCGCAATGGAAAAGACAAAAATTACATTGATGGCACTTATACTTGTGCATTTTGCTTTTCTATATTAAAGGGTGAATTTGGTCGTAAGAAGGGGAGCTGGCAGTGGTGTGGTGGTCTGACGCAATTCCTGAACGTTGTTCTGACCTGATCATGGGAACTCCAGTCAGCCAGATTGATATATTCTGTTGTCTCTAACTGATATTCTCCCAAGCGTTGTGCAAAATAGCTCCTTGCTAACACCATCCAGAGAAATCCGCATTCCCCCTCTAGTTCTTGAACCTCATCCGATCATATCTCACGACGGCCTGCAAAATAACCGACGCACCGGTGGCACAATCATCTGCCGAAGAGAACTCCTCCGGATGATGACTTAACCCATCTTTACACGGCACAAAAACCATGCTCGTCGGCACCCTTTTCGACGTGAAGACACTATCATGACCAGCCCCGCTCATAATCGTGCGATACAAGGACTCAGGAACCGGCTGATCCCCAACAACAGCCCTAGTCGACTCCGTCACACATCCAATGCAATCCTCATGAAACTGAACAGCAGGACAATCCAAATCCAAAACCCACTCAACGCGACACGGCTTCCCAATCTCCTTGCCTTCCTCCGCCGCAATCGCCGCAAACTCCGCCCGCATCTCCGCATCGCACTTCTCCACAATCGCCGTATCCGCAGCCCGGAAATCAAGACTGAAATTGACAAGCCCAGGAACCGTATTGACGCTGCCAGGCTTGATGTTTACGATCCCCACACTAGCTAGACCGCCGTGCTTCTGCGTGATTTCGCGTGCCCGCACCATCATCTTCGCCGAAGCGAAGAGGGCGTCCGCACGATGCGCCAAGGCCGTGGTGCCCGTGTGTGCATCGCGGCCTGCCACGTAGATGCGGTACCAGCGATATGCCTGGACGGCGGTGACGACGCCCACGCGCTGTCCTGCATTAATGAGATGCGGCCCTTGCTCGATGTGGACTTCGAAGTGGGCAGCGATCGGATATGAGGTGTGAGAGCATGGGGTGGTGCCTAGGTAGCCAATCTTTTCAAGGGCAGATTTCATGGTCTCTGGGGCTGAGGAGGCAGTGGGTAGGGAGGCGACGGTGGGGACTTCACGGAGGTTATGGGCTGTTTCAAGAGGGATTTTGCCGGCCCAGACGCCGGAGGAGACCATGCTTATGGGGAAGCGGGCGCCTTCTTCGCTGTTTTATTTCAAGTTTCTGTGAGTAGACAGACGCCTTGCCGTTGCTGTCTTTTTGATTTGGGTGAAAGCGGATGGAACGGGTCGGGTTAAACATACTTTGTCCAATTAACAACACCTACCCCGCCCTCTGTTTCGATCCCGTTCTCTTCTAGGACCTTGAGCATCTCGATTCCAGCACAGACGCCTAAAATACCATCATATCTGCCACCTGTGGGCTGTGTGTCGAGGTGGCTCCCGATAAAAGTGGCGGGGACATCCTTTCTGCGTCCAGGACGAACAGCAAAGATGTTACCCATTTCGTCGACTGTCACATTGCAGCCGAGGGATTTTGTCGTTTCGATAAACCAGTCTCGAACTTGCTTGTCCTCTTGCGAGAGGGACAGCCGCTGCATGCCTGTATCTGTCGGGCCTCTGTATGATGAGGAGTATTTGGCATTAGCATCAATATACTGGACTGTTAATCTCCTTTGATTGAAATTTGTCTGTAACAAACCCCCCCCCGCCCACAACCCCCTAGTATTTTCTGCCATACCTTTTCCTGATACAAGCACTTCAAAATCAGAATATTCCGAAGGTGGCTATTGCTGGTTGACGGGGAATGATAGGAGCAGAACCAAGCAGATGCAAATGATACCAACGAAAGCACACCACCTACTCTCCCCATCTTATGCCAGAACCCCATTGACAGCTGTGATGGATATACTCCCACAATCTCTCCTTGTTGGCTCGTAGCCCCGAAACTTCGGATTCGGAAAGTTCGGGAGTCAACAGCATGGTGTATTCTTTTCGCTGAGGGCTGAGATGGTAGACAACAAAATAGAACTCTGGGGAATGGGAGTGCTGTAGATTTTGATCTTGGAAATTCAAATGCGTTTGATGCGCTTGTTAATGAGCAGCAGAAGAGAGGGTGCATCAATTGACTCAAATGTATGAAAAAGGGAAGTTCCAGGAACTGGGTGGGATAGTTATATTAAATCTGCTCTCCCTTGATGGCGTTGGTATCCCAATGTTACGAACTGCTACTCAATAATATGGTCCCTAAATACCCGGTGCCCCACTCCGGCCAAGGTCTGTTGTACATGAATGGGGATAGAAACGCAAGCCGCATTGGGAGCGTGGGGGGAGATATGACATTTCGGAATTATATTGGTCGAACCGGAGGGCTCGTTATGCAAACCCGATCTGATCTAGGATTCCTTTATTCCTTTATCGTAGGAGCTGAAATTATAAGCCAATTATCCATCAACCGTCTACTTCTTCATAACAAGACAACATTTAGCGATAGCTCAAGGTGGCGTTGCAGAACCCCAAGGGATGATGAGCGCTGCCGGTTGTCGAAAAGGGCAGCGCTATGGGCACGGCCTGCAACGAATATCCACGCACTCCTTCGGGCACTCCTTCGGGTTCTGCGACTCCTGATTATCGCCGGGGAAAAAGGACAAATCATAATTATTCTCGTAGAGGCAACATCCCTAGAACACGTAAGGATAGCTGCCGTGATCGAAATTAGTAGGGAAGACATCAGGAGGAAATCGTATGTATGCATAAAATTATCGACCGACTGTGGTCGACGGAAGATTTCCAAAGATTGAGAGATAGGAGTATTTTGGACAGAGCCACGGCCATCTCTGGTAAAAGGCAAGAAATGGATTCTGAGCTAGCCTGTTCCACTCCTTGGTCAGTTCCACGACTGGACTGCTTTATAACCTCGCTTTTATTATGTAAGCTACCGATAGGCACACGGGTTCGATCCCAGGTGATGTCACCACGATTCTGTTGTTAATTTGTAATTTAATTTGATTTTTTTGGTTTTCATGTAACGTCGGGGCTTATATATATGTCTCTTTCTTTTTATTTATATCCATCCAAACACCTCGGACTTCCAACTATATCTCTCTGGTGCCAAGCAATCCCTTAGCCTCCCTTACGTCCTTCCCCGCATACACCAAGCTGACACCAACTCGAGTTCAACGATAAGCCAAAACCAAAACATCCCCATCACAAGATCGAACCTATTCAACTTAATACAGTAATTAATTGACTAGCCTGGTAGCTTCAAGATGGCTGCTGCTGTGGCTGCTTGCATCTTCTGTAAGATCGTGAAGGGTACGTATCGGTTTACCTCCCAGAGGTCTGGCATCATCCATTCTATCGACATATATATACTAACGCAATTGAAATAAGGTGACATCCCTTGCTTCAAGATCTTTGAAAGCGAGCGGGTTCTGGCTTTCCTTGATATCCAGCCCCTGAGCAAAGGCCATGCGGTTAGTGTTCTCTCTCTCTCTCTCTCTCTTTTTTTTTTTTTTTTTTTTTCTTCTTCTTTTCTTTTTTGAGTTGGGACTGCCGTCCCTACATATCACACATGTGGCGATTGATGGGCCCAACTGCCATTGGTTTCGGTCTTATGGCCGACGAGCAAAAGGGACACGTGCTCTCGTCTTCATTTCTGCTGTCAACTGTCAAGCAAAACTCGAGAAATAGTTCACTGGCAATTGACGATTTTGCTTCCCGCAGCTCGTCATCCCCAAGTTCCACGGAGCCAAACTCACCGATATTCCTGATCAAGACCTTTCTGAGCTTCTGGTAGGTGTATAATCTCTTCTAGCTTTCCTACCACGACATCATCCCCACGATTCAACATATCGGATCCGGGGAAAGAGAACAAAGCACAAGTGTGTTTCCTAGCCGAAGTGAGGTAGCCTCAGCATCCTACCGATGCTGCTACTCTTATTTGACTTTCAAGTCCCTATCGATTTCCCTCTGAAATGAACCAATTCGCTACCATCGGGAATCCTTGCAACGAGAAAATGTTTAGAATATTACGAGCTAACCGATGAGCTGCTAACCCATGATAGCCCGTTGCGAAAAAGATAGCAACTGCCTCGGGCGCCGTCGATTTCAATATCCTCCAGAATAACGGGCGTCTAGCCCACCAGTTTGTTGATCATGTACGTCTTTTTTATTATTATTATTATTATTATTTTATTTAAATACCATCACCGCGCTCAATTTCTTGAGGTTTTCTTTCCCCACTCTGTGTCTCAACTGACAATATCTATGCAGGTTCATGTTCACATGGTGCGTTGTAGCTTTCTCTAGATTCTCTTCGTTCACGGACGTTCACGAACTTAATTAGCAAGCCTCTCTTATTGGGGATAGGGCAACTGAAGAGTGGATTTGAAATTGAGATGCATAAACAAAAGCGAAAAAAAAAAAAAAAAAAAAAAAAAAAGAAAACCAATTTCCCCATTCCTTGCCCAGCGCATGATCCCCCCAAATACCAGCTGTTCAAACCCCCCCCCCCTGCCCCCGCCAAAAAAAAAAAAATCGTGTGCTGACATTGGACAACCCTCCTATCTTCCTCCATCATATAGATCCCCAAACCAAACGAGAAAGAAGGTCTCACAGTTGGCTGGCCGGCCTACGATGCAATTAAGGACGAACTCAAGGTGCTGTGCGAGGAGTTGAAATCGAAGATGTAAAAGCAACGCTGTGCTACAAAATCATTCAACTGAAGTGATTCCGTTTTTTAATGCCGGAAACCCCCAGACGGATGAAGTCAGGTTTTGGGGTTTTAATTATTGTATTTTATGGCACTTATGTAACAGAAGGGGCAGAGAATTAGGCTTCTAATGACGAATTACCAACTGTCTGTCGCTGGAGAAAAACCACTCGATGAAAGAGGGGAAAAGTGGATGAGGGACTTTGGGTTTCTATTTTCCCATGTCTCGCACGCTCGCATATTCTGAGGTCGAGTAGCTGCGCCTTAATATCTTCGCGGGCGGCTATTTCTATTGATATGCTCCTATTCACAAACCTACCCTTAATGATGTGCAGCGCGGCAATATAGTATCTGTCGACGAAAGCATTCACTGTGATGTACTTCCCACTGTCATCTTGTCGTAGATAGGTAAAGCAGAAGAAAACTACTCTCCGGACGGGAGGGAGGAGAGGTGGAGATTCCCTACACCAGTCTTTCGTGAAAGGAAATAATTTCTTCATGTTGTTCCTCCAACCAATTTCTTGGCTTGCTTGAATAAATTATGTAGTTAATTTTATCAAATATGTATGAATAATGTATCCCCTGGATGTGCCTGGAAACAATCTACCCTCAAAAACCTAAGTCTATCTACAAGAAACGAAAAGAGGAAAGAAAATTTGTATCCCCAGCACAACCCCTATGCTATTAAACAAGATGGAAAGTCGGTTGTCGAATATCAGAAAGGTGTGAAGGGGGGATATCTTCAGAAAATGATCTAAAAGTTACAGGAATGGGAGGCAGTGAAAATGGAAGTCGTAAAAAGAGGGTAGAAAACATCACAGCACAACACACAATAAATAACAAACGGTCGAAGTGAAAGTCATAAAAGGGAAAAAATTCCCAAGGGAGACACATCTAATTGGAAGCGGCAGCAGCAGTCGCAGCTACAGGCTGCACTGGCACAATTTGTGCTTGTGACTTCGGAGACTCTGGGCTCTCCTGCTTTTCCGAGACTGAAGACTGTCCTGTATTTGCGGGGGTTCCCGCTCTAGAGTTCTTAGCGTCTGCTGCCGCTTCAGCGTCCCTAATACGATCATAGATGGAACGCGCTCGGATGTATGGATCAAGCTCCCAGTAGAAATCACTCAGCCTCGAGGCGATATCTTGTCTCTGCTTCTTGATCTCTTCGCCTTTATCCGCAGCATTAAGCCATAATATAGTTGCCTTTTGGAACTCGTCGATGATCTTATATCTTTCTCCCTTAAGTTCAGAGGTTTTGGTGGTATCCTTTAGCTTTTCGTTCTCCCCTGCCTTAGGCTCCAAGTACTCGTACTCGTAGTTGTCATTGCCGCCAAGTGCTTTGGGGATGGCGTCCTTGGCGATAAATTTTTCAAGTTCTTGATAATTCGATGTGAAGTGGACCTTCGATGCCACTACGGGATCCAACCAGCCTTTGATAATAGACCAGAAACCTGAGGAAGAAAATGTTAAGAGAGGCCTAGACTATGGGACGAAAGAGGACTTACTGGAGAATATCCACGGTGATTTGTGCACCAGAATGGCACCGAGACTTTCAGGGTAGTTGGCTTCAAAGCATTTAATGATGAATTTAACAGGTATTGTGTCCTATGATGGAGTGTAAGTGCATGCGAACCACATGATGTAGAACGAAAGGAAGTGTGAAAGACTAACCATATTTGCCAGTCCAAAATCAGTCATATCGAAGACGATGACCTTGGGAAGAATTAGCACTTGATATGAAAACCTGGTGACAATGACATCAACAACTCACAGCAGTATCTGTCTTAGCGTCCAACATGAGACGAGAAGTCTCTATTTGGAATATAATGTTCTTCTCTATAGCAGACTGGCAATAGGCGCCAATACGATGCAGGCGGACTCTAATGTAGCAAATCGGCCTCCCTGCTTTATCCTTGCCGCGAATGTAAGCCTCTCCAATACGAAGCATCTGGAGCATATCCTGCGCCTCCTTCTTGGTGGCATCATCACTATTGTTGTTGTTGTTGTTGTTATCGTGGATAGCAGCTTCACCCTTAAACATAATATCTTCGTCTATATGCCACTCCTTGGTTCTCCATTTTAGCGTAGAAACCAACATCACCAAAGCTTTGTTGACATCCCACTTCCTAGCACGGAGAAATCGAAGTAATAGCCCATCGGGGTGGTCATGCTTAATCGTATTCCAGAATGCAAGCCGTAGTTCCTCTGGAGATTGACTTGATAACGCAGAAAAGAACTCCTTGTTTAGCCCATATTTATCGTCTTCAGCAGGCGCATTGGCTTGGCTGTTACCGCTCGGAGCTGCTTCCTCTCCTGCAGTTTCAGTAGATCTGCAAAAGAGCCCGAACCGTTTCTTTGTCGTAGTCTTCTTATTCTCCGTCACGGATGCCTTATCTGACTCGTTCTCAATTGCGCTGGTCGCTTTCTGAAGAAACAACAAATTATCCGCCCACCCCTTCAACTCATCATTGCCTATATTGAATATTTTAAAAAGGATCACCCAAAACTCTCTGAGTTTCGCTTCCTCTTCCTCTGTAAGATTGCCAACGCGCCCAGTAGGTGCTACATGTGTAGCCATTTCTTTACCTTGTTCAGTTTCTTCTTCAACAGTGAAGCTGTCTAGAGCAGGGGTTAGAGTAGCGATGCTCGGTTTGTCCGAGTTCCAGTGGATGTGGCGGAATCCCAAGCCACCGAATATAATAACAGCAGAAACAGCGAATGTCCAAAGAGACGACGCTTTTCTTGTAAAGAAGGAGTTATATTGAGAAATCGAGACGGGACAGCTATACCTGATAAGGGATGGTGAATCTTGACGTGACCAGCTGCGAAACCCACTGTGCACTCGATGTTTAGTCAATCTGATAGAGACAAAGTTGACGGAAGCAGGTGAGATGCGACGGTGGAAGAAAGCCCACATATATATAAGCTATATACAGGTAGGAACAATTTTAAGGTCCAAAAGAGCGGTTGAGCTTAGTTTGCTGAGCTATTGTGGATACAGCGAGTGAGAAAAACGGATTGGGGCGAGTGTCTGTAACTTAACACGTCCTCTCACAATCCCTCGGTTGCTCCGGAAGCCGATCCCAG